TGTGTGAGGGTGATAAAAAAGATGTCAAAGAGATGAAATTGAACTAGTTTCTGAATGGTAAGGGAAGTTCACCAGGCAGAAAAGAAAAGACATCCCTAGTAGAAGCAGCAGCTATTGCAAAGATCTCAAGGCTCAAAAAAGTAACATATTCGTTAAGAACTATGAACAATTTATTCAAACTAGAACACAGAGTAGGGAGTGGCAGATGAGACCTGAGTTGAGGCCAAATGATGCCATAGTAAGGAATTTGAATGTTATCCTACAAGATACAAAGAGCCAAAAGTTTTTAAGCAAAGGAGTTCCATGATCTTTGTATTTTTAGAAAGATCATTCTAGGGATGGACTAGAAAAGCGCGAGCTGAAGGCAGGAGACTGCTGGGGAAAAACACACAAATAAGAGATGAGGAGGAGCTAAACAAAAAGCTTTAACAGTGAAATTTCAGCAGTGGAGATGAAGAGAGATAACAGAGAAAGATGTATTGAGATTTTAGTGATTAACTGAATGCAAGAAATGAAAGAAGGAAAGGAATGGAAAATATACTGAAATGTGTCTTGATTGAGACAGGGCATATGGGTATAGAAGCAGGCTTTCAGGGCAAGAAAGTGAGTTCTGTTTTGGACATGTACATTTGTAGATGCCTGTGGGGATATATATATATAACCAAAAAAAAACCAAACTCACTGTCATCGAGTAGATTCTGACTCACAGCGACCCCAATGGGTTTCCAAGATGGCAAACCTTTCAGAAGTAGATTACCCTATCTTCCTTCTGCAGAATAGTTGGTGGGTTTGAACCACCAACATTCTGGTTAGCAGTCAAATGCTTTAGGCACTGCATCACCAGAGCATGCATAAAAAACAAAACCAAACTCACTGCCACCAAGCTGCATCCGACTCATCGCAATCCCTCCTTGGGTTTCCGAGGTGGTATCACTAAGTAGGTTGCCCAAGGAGTAGCTGGTGAGTCTGAACCACCAGCCTTCTGGTTAACAGTCAAATCCCTGAGGTATATGTATATACACATATAAAACACAGGGAGCGAATGAGACCAAACACAGAGAAGGAATAACCTCATTATATTTTTATTTTCTACTTTGTTTCTCTAAATTGAAATTATATTTTCACATGTCTATTTCTTCAAATCTAAGGAGCTCTGCTGGTGTAGTGCCTAAGACATTTGACTACTAACCAGAAGGCTGGCAGTTCAAACCCACCAGCCACTTCACAGAAGCAAGACTGGGCAATCTATTTCCATAAAGATTTACCACTTCGGAAACCCAATGGGTGGCAGTGGGGTTCTTTTCTTTTTGTTTTGGTATTTCTCCCAAAAAGATTGAGAATTCCTTGAGACCTCAGAGGACCATGTCTTATTTTTCTTGTTATCCCACAGAAGGTGTGTGTCACAGTGTATCTATACTCAGGAAGTATTTGCTCAATTAATATACAAATGAATGAATTTGTTCTCCCAGCACTTAGCAGAGTACCTGGCACATAGAAGACACTGAATAAATGGTAACTAACACACAGTGACTCCCCACAGTACCTCAAACACATTCCTATCTCTACATCATTCTTACCTATTTTTACCCTCCAAGTACTACCACCTTGGAGTTCCTGGATAGCACAAACAGGTAAGTGATCGACTACCAACAAAAAAAGTTGGTAGTTCAAATGCACCCAAAGGCATCTCAGGAGACAGGCCTGGCAATTTGCTTGTGAAATATCACAGGTGGAAAACCCTACTCTGCACACATGGGGTAACCATGAGTTGGAATCAACTCAACAGCAACTAACAACAGCAGACCTATCACCCAGCTATATACCGTAAGTCAAAATCCATTATACTTAATGCACTATTTCAACAAAGATTCATAACATAGCATAACAAACAAAACTGTGAACAAACTCAGTGCTTTCTCCAATATAACCAAAAATTTGGACAGTCCCTAAGAACTCTTTGACATGACTTCACTCAACCCATCACTATGTGACCCATATCAAACCCACTGTCACCAAGTTGATCCTTACTCATAGTGACCCTATAGGACAGAGTAGAACTGTCCTATAGGGCTTTCAAGGCCGTAAATCTTTATGGAAGCAGACTGACTCCTCTTTCTCCCACGGAGTGGCTGGTGGGTTCGAACTGCCGATCTTTTGGTTAGAAGCCAACGCTTTAAAACACAGTGCCACCAAAACTTTTGTGATCCATTTCACAAGGGTATTATATATATTTATTTCTATGTCATTAACACAGTATTAAACAAAACCTTCACCCCTATGTCACTCTCAAAGTCCCTGTAATCTCTTTGGAAGGTTGGAAAACAGAACAAATGGAAATAGAACAATTATAAATCATTAAAAAGAAAAAAAGATTTCTCCTACGTGCCCATCAACAGAAGAACAGATAACCAAACTATGGCACTTACACACAATGGAATACTATCCAACACCGAAGAATAATGTAGAATCTGCAAAACACCACGTAATGTGGATGAACTTGAAGGACATTATGCTGAAATAAGTTAACCACAGAAGGACCAATATTATATTAGTTCATTATTGTAAAAAGTCAAGGAAAGGTTTATATACGGAAGGAGACTTTCTTTGTTAGTTACCAGGAGGAGGAGTGGAGGGAACACTGCAAAAATAAAATAAGGAATAATAAATTTAAAAAGTTTCTGTCAGTATATTGTCATCACAACCCTTCCTATAGATCACATACCTTTTGTCCCCTATCACCTTGATTCTGTAACAGCCTTTCTTTCTCCAAGTCATTCTCATGCTCCAATTTTGAGTCCAGCTTTGCTATTTATCACTATGTGACTTCTGGCTTCTGAATTTAATTCCTCCTCTATAAAACAAGAATTTCTGCCCTTCACTAGCTCACAAGGCATCTGTGCAGATCCGGTATAATTTGAGATTGCTACATAAAGTATGACTGCTTTTTAAATATCACAAGTTATACAGAATTACTGTATAAACTCATGCAAGTTATACGGAATTATATAAACTCATGCTCCCCCAACCTAATGCCACAGCCACCCTACTATCACTCTAAATTATGATACTAACTTTCTAGATTTTATGAACTAGTAGAAAAAAATTTCAAAAATAATTTAAAAACAGGATTGTCACTTTCTATTTTGGCAAATAAGACCATGTTTAAAAAATCCACCATGTACAGTCACTATTATTTTATCAGCAAGAGAACACATTAACACCAAAATGGGAAGAATGATAATCTCAGAATAAATTTATCTTTATGAAAAACTCACTACACTATCTTCATTTCTCTCCTTCCATCTTCGTAGATGAAAACTTTACCACAGATGGGCACTGCTCTTGGCCCAGTGTTTAGGAATCACTTCTCTAAATCCTGTGTTATATATATATGTCCTATAGGATTCTCTGTTTGGGCAGGTTGTCAAGGGTTCCACCAGCATGAAGACCTGTTTGGCCTCCTGAAAGAAGCAATGAAAACATACTACAGAATAGAAGTCAGCTCTGAGGTTGACACTCTGGAACAGAATAGCAACTGTCCCTAATTCTCAGGGAGTGGTCTGAATAGAAAAGGCCCTAACGCTTCTTGAGGTTGGGAAGAGTCAAGCGGTCTAGAGACTCCATTACAGACCATCAGTACAGAGGAAAATTTAGTGGTCTGAAAGTGGCCATTATCACTGAGTGTCAACCTAGTTATACAGAACTTCCCAATCTTTCATGTGTGTGGGACTGTGTGGTGGGACTGAGAGGAAGAAGGGGGGCTATGAAAAACTAACAAAATAAATGCAATGACAGGGCATGGAGGGAGGGATGAATTACAGAAAACTTTTAAGGGTAATAAAAATGTTAACTACCTTGAGAGTAGTGATGGTTTCATAGATACATACCAATGTCAAAATTCATCAAGCATGTACATTTTAAATACAAGTAGTTTGTTGTTGACAAATTCACCACAATAAGATGGTTTTTAAAAATTTAACTGTAGAAAAATGAAAACAGGCCACCCTGTTTGGGGCCCAAATAAAATGTTCTACATGACAAACTATGTGACCTCCATGAAAGCAGAATGAGTAATTGAAAGTGGTCAGTCCAATATAGATAACAATCAGCAGCGCACTACAGCTCAGCATAGGCGAGGAGTTGCAGTGGAAGAAGGCAGCCTAGAAGCAGCAGAGGGAAGACAGAGTCATAAACCAAACTAAACTCAGTGCTGTCCAGTCGATTCCACTCATAGCCACCCCTCCTTGAGTTTCTGAGGCGGTATCTCTACGGAAGTAGATTGCCCAACCTTCCTTCCGAGGAGTGGCTGGTGGGTTTGAACCGCCAGCAGCCTTCTGGTTAGCACTCAAATGCCTTAGGCACTACACCACAAGAGCTCCTAAAATGATTTTCGCTACTCTTACCTACGACATCTCCAATTCCGTTCTCCAGAATGGAGACCCCACGGGAACAGGGGACTCAACATTTCCACCCAAGCTGTCCTATTTAGTCTGAAACTATTGCTCTCACTGGGCAGGACAGTCCATCTAAAGAGGCCTCAGAGCCAACCTCTGATCCTAAGCAAGTCGCACAATCCTCATCCCTCTCTCCCACCCCTGCCCTCAACTCCTTCACCAATTCACACTAACTTCCACGCTCCTGCCTTAGCTTTTTACTCTCCTCCTCCCTGCAGTGGGATCACCCTCTCACTCTGGTACCAGGGTTGTGGCTCTCTCCTGCCCTCGGGAGCCCTAGCCCCGAACTAAACCGTGTACATAAGTCCTTTTAACTGGCCCTCAGAAAGCACCCAACCCTTCACTCACCCCAGTCCCTTACCTGCCCAGTCACTCCTCGATTTGCACCTTTTTCCTCTATCCTAGACATTCGCACCTGGTCCCTCACCACCTGCCAGCCCCTCACCGGGTCCCCTTAAAACCAGTACAGTCGCCGAGCCGGGAACTGTCATTCCGCAGCCGCTCATGCCCTCATGCGCCTCTGCGGGACCCTCGGCCCACGCTCACCGTCCACTCACACAATCGCGACCCTGGCCAGGCCGGGTCGCCGCGGAGATACCAGGTGAGTTCAGGCCGCCGCCATCGCTCCTCAAGCGTACCAACTGCGCCCCGCCCCGCGCCACACGCAGCCCGCGCCCCCGCGCATCACACGTAACCGCCCAGCGACGCACGACTGGGCAATGGCGTGTCTGCTCATTGGCTGGACTCAGCCACCGCCAAAGCGTCGACGCTTGTTTCCTGGCAACGGCGGAGGGCAGGGGCGGGGTAACCGACGGAATTCCAAGTGAGGAACACCACCTCTCCCCCAGGTTCCGCCCCCTCATACTGTACACCCCGCCCCTCAGAAGGATTCGGACCTGTCATAGGCAAAGACCTCTGAGGAGGCGGAGGCCTGCGGGGTGATGCCTAGAGAGGAAAGGTCGCAAAGGAGGGCAGAAAGTGGCACCTAGAGAGGGTGGGGACTTTGAGAAGAAGAAGAGGACCGGGAGGGCGAATCTAGGAGAGAGATGAGGCAGAGACGGGCGAGGAAAGAGCGGTGCCACGGATAGCGTAGAAGAGTGGGCGTGGAAAGGGCGGGGCACTAAGGGGAAGGTCAGAAGAGCGAAGTCAATAGGTGGAAAAGCAGAGCCTAGGGAGGGCTTTCGGAGAGCAGTATAGTTCATTTCTTCACACGTGAGGAACTGTTTGGCTTCTCCTTCAGGACCTAGGTGGTGACCGCCCCAGACCAGCTCCCTCAACACCTGCTGCGTTGTGCTGCTCCACGACCCCTTCAGCCCTGACTCATTCAGTCAGTAAACACTGAATAGGCACCTCCAAATCAGGCCGGGATTCCAGATCAGTTAGAACCCCTCTCTGCCTCCAGGATCTCAGTCCTTTAAACATGCATTTGCAACAGAGTGTAATAAATACAGGCAGTCCCCGACGTAGGACAGGTTTAGTTCTGACAACTCCGTCGTCAGTCAGTTTTGACATAAGTCAAATACCTTCTACCACCCCGCCCAGTTTTCATTGTTATTGCCTTTTATTATCAATATCTTTATAAATCCGACCTTTGAACATGTGCAAGTGATCTGAGAATGACATCAGCAAATTACACAGTGCAACCTATTACTAACCATAAAATGTACCAAAAACCGAAACAAAACCAGACGTGTGGTTTGTCATGTTGTTTGTTGTTATGTGCCTTGGAGTCAGCCCTGACTCAGGGACCCCTCCTTGGGTTTCCGAGGCAGTTTCACTAGGGAAGTAGGATTGCCCAACCTTCCTTCCGAGGAGTGGCTGGTAGGTTTGAACCACCAGCCTTCTGGTTAGCAGTCAAGTGCCTTAGCCACTATGCTACATAACTTGAATAAATCCTGGTTTGGGACTACCCGTACTACAACAAAAGGCCCATCAAGGAGCAGCACTTAGAATGATTTGCTTTTATAGAGGATGAGGGGAAGGAAGGGCAAAGAGGCCTAGCAGAGGCTTCCAGGAGAAGATGGTGTTTCAGCAGTCTTGAAAGACAGCAGGGGTAAGAGAAACTAAGATACAAAAATAGAAGCTTCAAATAAGAGATGGAGTTTAAAGTATTGTATCAGTGTTTATTCCCTGGTTTTGATTATTGAAACTATTATTGTTTTGATTATTATAATTGTTGCTTAGTTTATAAGTGGATAACATTAGAGGAACATAAGTAAGGAGTTTACTAGAAGTTTCAGTACTATTTTTGCAACTTTTCTATAAACCAAAAATTAGTTCAAAAAAATGTTTTAAAAAAAAGACATAAGCAACAAAACAAAATAGATAAATTATACTTCATCAAAATTTAAAACTTTTGTAAATCAAAGGACTTTATCAACAAAGTGAAGACACAACTTAGAGATTAGGAGAAAAATTTTAGGACCCATTTATCAGATAAGGGAGCTCTGGTGGCATAGTGCCTGGCAGTTCAAACCCACCAGCCACTCCTCAGAAGGAAGACTGGGCGATCTAGGTCCATAGAGACACTGCTTCAGAAACCCAAGGAGGAGTCGCTATGAGTCAGCACTGACTCGAGGGCAGTGAGTTTGGTTGGTTTTCTGACATCAGATAAAGGTTTAATGTTGTTGTTGTTGTTATATGCTGTCCAGTTGGACCCAACTCATAGCGACCCCTCCTTGGGTTTCTGAGGTGGTTTCACTATGGAAGTAGATTGTCTAACCTTCATTCTGAGTAGTGGCTGGTGGATTTGAACTGCCAGTCTTCTGGTTAGCAGTTAAGTGCCTTAGGCACTACACTACCAGAGCTCCTAAAGGTTTAATAGCCAGTATGTATTTTTTAAAATCCTACAATTTAACAACAACCAAAAAAAAAATGATCCAATCAAAAAATGGGACCTGAAGAGACATTACACCAAGTGGCTAACAAATGCGTGGAAAAGTGCTCAATTCATTAGTCATTAGGGAAATGCAAGTCAAAAACACAATGAGATATAACTTCACCCCAACTAAGATGGCAACTAACAATAACATCAACAAAGAGCCTATAAGCAAAAAAAAAATTTTAGAAACTGAAAACAACAGATACTGGAAAGCGTGTGAAGAAACTGGAAGCCTCATCCATTGCTAGTGGGATTGTAAAATGGTACAGCTGTTGTGGAAGACAGTTTGGCAGTTCTTCAAAAAGTAGAACACTGAATTACCACAACCAGTTGCCATGGAGTCATTTCCAACTCATGGCATTTCCACGTGTGTGACAGTAGAATTGTGCTTCATAAGGTTTTCAATGGCTGATTTCTCTAAAGTAGATCACCAGAACTTTTTGCAAGGCATCTGTGGGCCAAGTGCTTATATGATGCAGCAGTTCCATTCCTAAGTGTGTACCCAAAGGAATTAAAAGTAGGAACACAGATATTTGTACACCAATGTTCATTACAATATTCACAACAGCCAAAAATGAAAGCAACCCAAGTGTCCATTAACAGATCAGTGGATAAATAAAATGTGGCATATACATACAATGGAATATTACTCAGCCATAAAGAGAAATGAAATCCTGATACATGCTACAACATGGATGAACCTTGAAAACATTATGCTGAGTCATAAAAGGACAAATATTACAGGATCCCAGTTATGTGAACTATCTAGACTAGGCAAATGCATAAAGAACCAAGTTTATTAGTGTTTATCAAGGGGAAGGAGAAAGAGGGGCACTGAGTTTCTGTTAGGGGTAATGGAAACTTTTGGAAACGTAATGATGATGGTTGTGTAATATGATGAGTATAATTATTGTTGGGTGTCATCAAGTTGATTCCAACTCATAGCAACTCGGTGTGACAGAGTACAATACCCTATAGGGATTTCTTGGCTATAATCTTTACCAAAGCAGATTGCCAAGTCTTTCTCCCACAGAGCCGCTGAGTGGGTTTGAACCTCCAACCTTTAGGTTAGCAGCCTAGTGCTAAACTGTTGTACCACTAGGGCTCTTTATAAGCATAATTAATGTTACAGAATTGCACATGTAAAAGATGTT